GAGACTCTCGAATGAAGCTCATCCATCTTATTCTCAAGTGACTGGATATTTGCCATGTTTTTGTGTGTGTGCGTCTGCTTCAGGCCTCTCAGCAGTTATTTAAACTATAGCTGTATTGTTCTTCTGGTCCTCTGGGAGGACAGGAAGTAGAGATGTGACACTGGGAGGACAGGAAGTACATATGTGACACTGGGAGGAACCGGAAGTAGAGATGTGACACTGGGAGGAACAGGAAGTAGAGATGTGACACCGGGAGGAACAGGAAGTAGAGATGTGACACTGGGTGGAACCGGAAGTAAAGATGCGGAGACCGCTAAAACAGGAAGCAGGAAGAGGCCCAGATAAGATGACCACTCAGATGCTTTCTGTGTTCCCTCTTTCATCTGCTGTAAAATCTGCCCATAGAACCAGATCTAGGATCAGCTTAGCCCCCTCAGATCCTGACTAGGGAAGATGTAGACCTGACGTTAGATCAGTTTCAGGGAATGGTCAAATTAATCCTTTGTGTCTAGCGAATGTGTCCAATTGCATTGGAGAGTGTGTGTGGGTGTTGGTCTGAAGCGTGACTGTGCACAGCACAGGAGAGTGAGTGAGTGTGTGTGTGTGTGTGTATACAAAACATTAAGAACACCTGCTCTTTCCATGACACAGACTGACCAGGTGAATTCAGGTGTCACTTGTTTAATCCACTTCGATCAGTGTAGATGAAGGGGAGGAGACAGGTTAAAGAAGGATTTTGTATCATTGAGACATGGATTGTGTATGTGTGCCATTCAGAGGGTGAATGGGCAAGACAAAAGCTTTAAGTGCCCTTGAACGGGGTATGGTTGTATGTGCCAGGCGCACTGGTTTGTGTCAAGAACTGCAACGCTGCTGGGTTTTTCACGCTCAACAGTTTCCCGTGTGTATCACGAATGGTTCACCACTCAAAGGACATCCAGCCAACTTGACACAACTGTGGGAAGCATTGGAGTCAATATGGGCCAGCATCCCTGTGGAAGGCTTTTGACACCTTGTAGAGTGCTTCATTTGTAAATTGGGAGGTGCCGGAACAAAATAAGAGCCGAGAGGGGGCTGACCTGGGGGGCTCTGAAGTACCGGAACGCATGAGGGGTAAAAAAAACACCTTTATAATAAAGCATTGCATGCATGTCAACGCTTTTGCGTGTACCGGAACGCATTAAAAAACCCAACCTTTATAATAAAGCATTAGCATGCATATCAACGCTTTTGCGTGTACCGGAACGCATGAAAAAAACAAAACCTTTATAATAAAGCATTGCATGCATGTCAACGCTTTTGCGTGTACCGGGACAAATGTTGCCTTTTTTAAACGCTTTTCATGCAATTCTACATAATTTTTGATTACTGGAGACTTTAGCAAAATCTTTTTAAATACCTCACAAATTGAGAATGTGAGATCAATAAAAATGACCTTGTCTTGAATCCCATCTATAGCCTAGGCCTAGGTGTGTGGAGACACATATTGTACAATATGAGGAGGAAAAATAAAAGCTTTCCACTTTCACTGACTCACCCAATGATGCGCAGCTCAATCACCAGCAATGGCCGATGCGCTCGTGCCAAAAGCCTCTCTCTCTCTTGTTTTACTTAGTAAAACAATGCTGTTCGCGCAGTAGGCCTATTTGAAAGTTGATCACATATTTGGTAGCCTACTGTCACGATCGTCAGGGAGAGACCAATGCGCAGCGTGATGAATGAACATGTTTACTTTATTAAATTAAAGCACGAACAAAACAACAAACGACTCGTAACGTCCACGGTGACAATGACCGAACACGGAACAAAAACCCACAAACACAAAGTGAAAAACAGACAGTTAAATATGGCTCCCAATCAGAGACAATCAGCCAACAGCTGACACTCGTTGCCTCTGATTGGGAGTCACTAAGGCAAACATAGAAAACAACAAACCAGAACCCCCAACATAGAAATAAACCACATAGAATGAACACACCCTGGCTCAACATATAGAGTCCCAGAGCCAGGGTGTGACAGTACCCCCCCCCTAAAGGCACGGACTGCGACCGCGCCTCAACCAGAGAAAAAGAGGGGAGGGCTGGGTGGGCACTCCTCCTCGGCGGCGGTTCTGGCTCCGGGCTTGCCCACCACCCTCCAATAAACCCCCCATAGCGCCCCTGGTCCGGTCTGGCCCCGCTGGCTGGAGCTGACCTGGACGTAGCAGGAGCGGCTAGCTTCAGCTCCGTTGGGGAGCAATAAAGCGGTACCTGATTTGGCACCGATGACCCAGGCACGGGTTGTGCCGGACTGACGACGCGCACCCCAGGCTTGGTGCGTGAGGCAGGAAAGGACCGGACCTGGCTGTCGATGCGCACCCCTGGCTTGGTGCGTGGAGCAGCAACGGGCCGGACCGGGCTGACGATACGCACCCCTGGCTTGGTGCGTGGAGCCGGAACGGGCCTCACCGGACTGATGACTCGCACCCCTGGCTTGGTGCGTGGAGCAGCAACGGGCCGGACCGGGCTGACGATGCGCACCCCTGGCTTGGTGCGTGGAGCAGCGACGGGCCGGACCGGGCAGACGATACGCACCCCTGGCTTGGTGCGTGGAGCCGGAACGGGCCTCACCGGACTGACGACTCGCACCCCTGGCTTGGTGCGTGGAGGAGGAACGGGCCTTACCAGGCTGACGACGCACACCATAGGCTTGGTGCGTGGAGCAGGGACAGGCTGGACTGGGCTGACGAAGCGCACCACTGACTTGGTGCGGGGAGCAGGAACGGGCCGAGCCGGGCTGACAAAGCGCACCACTGACTTGGTGCGGGGAGCAGGAACGGGCCGAGCCGGGCTGACGAAGCGCACCACTGACTTGGTGCGGGGAGCAGGAACAGACCGGACCGTACTGGGGACACACACCACTGGCCCTACACCGGGATCTGGAACGGGCCGGACCGGACTGGTAACACACCCCAGTACCTCTCGCCGTGCCTCTCCACCTTCCATCCCCTCTTCGACCAGTGGCCCCCGTAACCTGGCGGCCTCCTCTGCCAACCCGCTGGACCGCTCTATCGCGGCCTCCTGCTGCCCCGACGTCATGAGCCCCCCCCTAAAAAATTTCTGGGGGTCTCTCCTCCCTGTGGGCCAGGCCTCTATCGTTCTCGCCCAACTCTCGCTCTTCTGCCCCCAATTCCAGCCATTCTGCTCTTCATTAGGCTTGACCCAGTCGAGACTCTTCCTCCACTGTTCCCAAGTCCATCCACTCTGCTCTTTACAAGGCTGGACCCAGTCGAGGTTGCCACGGAGATCTGCAAGCGATTCCCCTGGCGATGGCTCCTGGACACGCTGCTTGGTCCAGTTTTGGTGGGTTTTTCTGTCACGATCGTCAGGGAGAGACCAATGCGCAGCGTGATGAATGAACATGTTTACTTTATTAAATTAAAGCACGAACAAAACGACTCGTAACGTCCACGGTGACAATGACCGAACACGGAACAAAAACCCACAAACACAAAGTGAAAAACAGACAGTTAAATATGGCTCCCAATCAGAGACAACCAGCCAACAGCTGACACTCGTTGCCTCTGATTGGGAGTCACTAAGGCAAACATAGAAAACAACAAACCAGAAACCCCAACATAGAAATAAACCACATAGAATGAACACACCCTGGCTCAACATATAGAGTCCCAGAGCCAGGGTGTGACACCTACAGACAGATTAGATTTCTCTTTTCAGCAGAATCCATTTGCTTTCAAACCTGTGTTTTCCTGCGATGTTTGGCTATTTGAAATATTGCAAAAGGCCTGTTTTGACTGCATGCTGTTCACTGTGGTTAAACTATAGACCTACTCCTGGTGTAGTATTCTAAATTAGTTCATTTCTTTCTCAACAGACAGCAGTAATTCTATAACTTTGGCAAATGTATATAAATTGATCAGGATTTCAATTTACCAGTGGTGCTGCGGCACCTCCAGCACCCTTACCGCGGCTACACTCAGAAAAAAAGGGTTCCAAAAGGGTTCTGCGGCTGTCCCCATAGGAGAACCCTTTTTGGTTCAGGGTAGAACCCTCTTTGGTTCCAGGTAGAACTATTTTGGGTTCCATGTAAAACCCTCTGTGGAAAGGGAACCATAAACACGGGCCGGCCCAACACGAATACATTCTTAGAATTGTATTTTATTTTATTTATTTGACCTTTATTTAACTAGGCAGGTCAGTTAAGAACAAATTCTTATTTACAATGACGGCCTACACCGGCCAAACCCGGACAACGCTGGGCCAATATCAGCCACGTTTTCACATTACATTTTTTAGAGGGCAGGAGAATTACAGAGAAGGCAACTTGAATTAACTCTGATTGATTTGATTATAGTCTACATTTTACATTGCAAACAGTGACGATTATTTTTCATGTCAAGAGAGGTACTGATACTGGCAAATGGGTTTCGGAATAAAACAGTCCAAAATTGAGAGGTGCCAGATCCTGTTCAAATTAAGCACTGTAGCTGAGCAGTGGTAAGGCTAGAAAGCATAGCTGAGCAGTGGTAAGGCTAGAAAGCATAGCTGAGCAGTGGTAAGGCTAGAAAGCATAGCTGAGCAGTGGTAAGGCTAGAAAGCATAGCTGAGCAGTGGTAAGGCTAGAAAGCATAGCTGAGCAGTGGTAAGGCTGGAAAGCATAGCTGAGCAGTGGTAAGGCTGGAAAGCATAGCTGAGCAGTGGTAAGGCTAGAAAGCATAGCTGGACTGTAGCTTATTTTCCCAATACCTTAATCTCTCTGCTGTCTTCTACTACTGCATGGCCCACTTGGTCTGGTCTGGACGGGTCACAGTTGTATGCCCAGCCTCACTAACCCTGTTTCGAAGAATAGTATTGTGTGTTTGTTAGTGTGTGCTAATACGTCTGGCCCAGTGACTAGCTGTGTGTGTATATATCTATGTCTCCTTGCATTGTGTGTATGCTTATAATACTTACAATAGTTATAACTTACAAAATGTAGAAAACGTGTCTGTAAATACATCCATTATGTAAGTACAGTGTGTGTCATATATCATATGTATTGTGGGTTTCCTGTGCTTCCTGTGTAACAGTGTGAGGTGTCACCATGCCTCTGGTGAAGAGGAATATCGACCCGCGCCACCTGTGCCGGGGGGAGTTGCCAGAGGGCATCGGCAGTGAGCTGGAGTGTGTGATGAACAACACCCTCTCCTCCATCATCCGCCAGCTCAGCAGCCTGAGTAAGATACACACACACACAACACACACAACACACAGAGCAGAGAGCACTAACCACACACTACATAAAACTTGTAAAGCATGTTATTCATAGGTGTCTATGTGGGGAAGAGGGCAATGACATACAGTGAGGGGGGAGGGGGGAGGAGGGAGGGGGGAGGGGGGAGGGGGGAGGGGGGAGGGGGGGAGGAGGGAGGAGGGAGGGGGGAGGAGGGAGGAGGGAGGGGGGAGGGGGGAGGAGGGAGGAGGGAGGGGGGAGTACAGTATGCTATCCTGTTGAAATAATTCTCAAAATTCTATTCATCCGGACGTGTGTGTACATTCGTGTTTGTGTGTACCGGTAGCGGTGCGTGGGTAGAATCAATGGGGAAGCCAAGTCAGGGGGGAAAAAAGCCATATTACAACCTATGTTTTGTAATAATTGCGTTGTTTGCTCTATAACCTGTTAGGTCATATGCCTTCACACCGTGATATATAGGCCTAAAGGCCGAGACAATAAGAAACAACACAGTGGCAGAATAAATTCAACCACATCTTTGTTTCATCACAAAACCGGAGAGCAACCTCTGTCCGGTGAAGTCCACAAAGCATATTACATGTAACAAACAGTTACATGACCTACAGCATGGTCAAGAAAGTTAATGTTTCTGATATTTTCGGACTACTAAACAACTATTGATTTAGAACCACTGAGAGTTACTGCAAGTCTCAAAGTTAAACAGGAGCATCTCCACTATTCCAGCACCATTTCAACTTCAACATTTCAACATCATCAAATCACCTATGCTTAGTCTAATACAGTGACAACTAAAAGATACAAAAAAGTATTTAGTCCAATCAACGTAAGCTAAATGTGTAATATATGTGGCTGTTCATGGTTCTGATTTGTGTGTGTGTGTGCGTTCGTGCAAGTAGAAAAAACATGTTGACACCCTACTTGTAGAGAAAAGCCAATGCCATCCTCCTCTCTTTCATGTTGACGAAACGGCCTATGACTCTGTCATACAGTTATTGCTTTTATTTTTTGTTGTCCTAGGCTACCTGGCTAAAATGTTTGCTCGCTAGCCTAACTTCCTTTCATGGGCAACGTTAGCTAGTTAACATTAGCCTTCTACATCTAGCTACAGATTGAACTTCCATCCTCTTAGTCCAGGGCACAATGTATTTTATGGTTGGATCAGAATCCCCGTTATAATCATTGCCAGTATGGAGAATTAAGTAAAACCACAAGTCCAAATCCCTATCTTCATCCATGGCTAATTTAGGAAAGGGCCAATTTTAGCTAGCTAGCCACCGGAGGACAACAATACAACGAGATGCAACAATTCAAGTTGTTTCTGTCTATTACTTATTTATCTGTGATAGGAGTGAAGCCAAATCCAAATTGGCTTCCCTTGACACTTTTTTTTGGTCCGCTAGGACCATTCACAGTTGAACTCGCTCAGTTTAGCTCAACGCTGATTGGCTATTATCTTATATTTATTTTATCAAGGAAGGCCAAATGCTCGCTGTCTTCCCTTGCATTCAATGCTACTGGCAGCAACAATGTCATACTCTTTATGGCCAGACGGAATCAGATATGTAGATGGCCTACACATACAGAGACAGAAGGGCGCTGTTTCGCTCGCTTGGATGCTTTCTCCAGTGAGATACATTCAGCCTTAGCCTTGCGAATTGAAGGAAGATTATGAAAACACAGAGATGAAAGATGCTTTTTTTGGTCCATTTTCTTGTCCATTTTTTGGGGAAGCCTGGCTTCCCATGAATACACACCACTGGTGTGTGCTGTAGTATAACAGCATTAAACCGAGTGAATATGACTTAAGGGGTTATAGCCTGAATAACCCTGCTGCCCCCATGACACATGCCAAAGCAAGTGAAATAGATAATAAACAAAAGAGAAAAACTCACTCACTCTTTCTCTGTCATTGGAGTTTAGCATTTATTGGGATGACTCTTGTACTGGAGGCAACTAATCACATTTTAACCCTAAGCTTAACCTTAACCACACTGCTAACCCTAATGCCTAACCCTAACCTTAAATTAACACCAAAAAGCTATTTTTTTTCATGACTTTTTACAATTTAGCCAATTGAGCCAAAATCGCTCAGTTCTGCCTCCAGGACAAGACTCATCTTTACTTTACCTTTATTTAACAAGGCAAGTCAGTTAAGAACAAATTCTTATTTACAATGACGGCCTACACCGGCCAATGCTGGACGACGCTGGGCCAATTGAGCGCCGCCCTATGGGACTCCCAATCACGGCCGGTTGTGATACAGCCTGGAATCGGGCTCCGTGTAGCTCAGTTGGTAGAGCATGGCGCTTGCAACGCCAGGGTTGTGGGTTCGTTTCCCACGGGGGGCCAGTATGAACAAATAAAAATAAATAATGTATGCACTCACTAACTGTAAGTCGCTCTGGATAAGAGCGTCTGCTAAATGACTAAAATGTCAAATGTAAATCAAACCAGGGTGTCTGTAGTGACGTTTCAAGCACTGAGATGCAGTGCCTTAGACCGCTGCGCCACTCGGGAGCCCACATTGTGATTGTTCCTGTGGTGGGAGTGGGCCTTTCAGCAGCAGCTGTGTGAGTTAAATATAAACAGAGAGAGGAAGGCTAAGCTAGAGCCTTATCTCTGCCCAAAATCTGTCCAGGTTAAACAGATCATTAATTATGAAGCAAGCGAGGAGTTTCTGTATGGGGGGCAATGAGAGAGGGTCAAATTGATAACCATAAATTGCTATTTTGATACATGAGGCTTATTTGATCTAATAGAAGTTTGGTAATGATTAGGTTGTTACCAGTGTACTGATATAAGTGTGATGCACGTGACATCCCGGCAACTTTGAGAAAGAACACTTTATATTGGAGTTGTCCCTGTTGAAATTCGAGATGGTATATGTATAATCATGAGGCTAGCGTAGCATCTCACACTCCATTGAACATTTACATTTACATTTACATCATTTAGCAGACGCTCTTTTCCAGAGCGACTTACAAATTGGTGCATTCAACTTATGATAGCCACTTTTTTATTTTTTATGGAAGGAGGTAGAAGGATTATTTTATACTATTCCAGGTATTCCTTAAAGAGGTAGGGTTTAAAGTGTCTCCGGAAGGTGGTCAGTGACTCCGCTGTTGTGGGGGAGCTTGTTCCACCATTGGGGTGCCAGAGCAGCAAAGAGCTTTGACTGGGCTGAGCGGGAACTGTGCTTCCGTAGAGGTAGGGGAGCTAGCAGGCCAGAGGTGGATGAACGTAGTGCCCTCGTTTAGGTGTAAGGTCTGATCAGAGCCTGAAGGTAAGGAGGTGCCGTTCCCCTCACAGCTCCGTAGGCAAGCACCATGGTCTTGTAGTAGATGCGAGCCTCAAATGGAAGCCAGTGGAGTGTGCGGAGGAGCGGGGTGACATGAGAGAACTTGGGAAGGTCGAACACCAGACGGGCTGCGGCGTTCTGGATAAATTGTAGGGGTTTAATGACACAGGCAGGGAGCCCAGCCAACAGCGAGTTGCAGTAATCCAGACGGGAGATGACAAGTGCCTGGATTAGGACCTGTGCCGCTTTCTGTGTAAAGTAGGGTCGTACTCTGCGAATGTTGTAGAGCATGAACCTGCAGGATCGGGTCACCGCTTTGATGTTAGCGGAGAACGACAGGGTGTTGTCCAGGGTCACGCCAAGGTTCTTTGCACTCTGGGAGGAGGACACAATGGAGTTGTCAACCGTGATGGCGAGATCATGGAGTGGGCAGTCCTTCCCCGGGAGGAAGAGCAGCTCCGTCTTGCCGAGGTTCAGCTTGAGGTGGTGATCCAACATCCACACTGATATGTCTGCCAGACATGCAGAGATGCGATTCGCCACCTGGTTATCAGAAGGGGGAAAATAGAAAATTAATTGTGTGTCGTCTGCGTAGCAATGATTGGAGAGACCATGTGAGGATTTGACAGAGCCAAGTGACTTGGTGTATAGAGCGAATAGGAGAGGGCCTAGAACTGAGCCCTGGGGGACACCAGTGGTGAGAGCACGTGGTGCGGAGACAGATTCTCGCCACGCCACCTGGTAGGAGCGACCTGTCAGGTAGGACGCAATCCAAGAGTGAGCAGTGCCTGAGATGCCCAACTCGGAGAGGGTGGAGAGGAGGATCTGATGGTTCACAGTATCAAAGGCAGCGGATAGGTCTAGAAGGATAAGTGCAGAGGAGAGAGAGTTAGCTTTAGCAGTGCGGAGAGCCTCCGTGACACAGAGAAGAGCAGTCTCAGTTGAATGACCAGTCTTGAAACCTGACTGGTTTGGATCAAGAAGGTCATTCTGAGAGAGATAGCAGGAGAGTTGGCTAGAGATTGCACGCTCAAGAGTTTTGGAGAGAAAAGAAAGATGGGATACTGGTCTGTAGTCGTTGACATCGGAGGGATCGAGTGTAGGTTTTTTGAGGAGGGGTGCAACTCTCGCTCTCTTGAAGACGGAAGGGACATGGCCAGCGGTCAAGGATGAGTTGATGAGCGAGGTGAGGTAAGGGAGAAGGTCTCCGGAAATGGTCTGTAGAAAAGAGGAGGGGAGAGGGTCAAGCGGGCAGGTTGTTGGGCGGCCGGCCGTCACAAGTCGCAATATTTCATCTGGAGAGAGAGGGGAGAAAGAAGTCAAAGCATAGGGTAGGGCAGTGTGAGCAGGACCAGCGGTGTCATTTGACTTAATAAATGAGGATCGGATGTCATCAACCTTCTTTTCAAAATGGTTGACGAAGTCATCCACAGAGAGGGAGGAGGGAGGGGGAGGAGGAGGAGGATTCAGCAGGGAGGAGAAGGTGGCAAAGAGCTTCCTAGGGTTAGAGGCAGAGGCTTGAAATTTAGAGTGGTAGAAAGTGGCTTTAGCAGCAGAAACAGAGGAAGAGAATGTAGAGAGGAGGGAGTGAAAAGATGACAAGTCCGCAGGGAGTCTAGTTTTCCTCCATTTCCTCTCGGCTGCCTGGAGCCCTCTTCTGTGAGCTCGCAATGAGTCGTCAAGCCACGGAGCAGGAGGGGAGGACCGAGCCGGCCGGGAGGATAGGGGACATAGAGAGTCAAAAGATGCAGAAAGGGAGGAGAGGAGGGTTGAGGAGGCAGAATCAGGAGATCGGAGGGAGAAGGATTTAGCAGAGGGAAGAGATCATAGGATGGAAGAGGAGAGAGTATCGGGAGAGAGAGAGCGAAGGTTGCGACGGCACATTACCATCTGAGTAGGGGCAGAGTGAGTAGTGTTGGAGGAGAGCGAGAGAGAAAAGGATACAAAGTAGTGGTCGGAGACTTGGAGGGGAGTTGCAGTGAGATTAGTAGAAGAACAGCATCTAGTAAAGATAAGGTCAAGCGTATTGCCTGCCTTGTGAGTAGGGGGGGACGGTGAGAGGGTGAGGTCAAAAGAGGAAAGGAGTGGAAAGAAGGAGGCAGAGAGAAATGAGACAAAGGCAGACGTAGGGAGGTTAAAGTCACCCAGAACTGTGAGGGGTGAGCCATCCTCAGGAAAGGAACTTGTCAAGCTCATTGATGAACTCTCCAAGGGAACCTGGAGGGCGATAAATGACAAGGATGTTAAGCTTGAATGGGCTAGTGACTGTGACAGCATGGAATTCAAATGAGGAGATAGACAGATGGGTCAGGGGAAAAAGAGAGAATGTCCACTTGGGAGAGATGAGGATTCCTGTGCCACCGCCGCGCTGACCAGATGCTCTCAGGGTATGCGAGTACACATGGTTAGACGAGGAAAGAGCATTAGGAGTAGCAGTGTTTTCTGTGGTAATCCATGTTTCCGTCAGCGCCAAGAAGTCGAGGGACTGGAGGGTAGCATAGGCTGAGATGAACTCTGCCTTGTGTGTGTGTGTGTGTGTGTGTGTGTGACAATGTCAGAACTATGAAGAGAGGTCAGATTTAAACATTCTGAACCTCTCTTCCTTTCTTCCTCTAAATATTTTTCCAGTGGTCATCCTGTGTGTGTGTGTGCGTGCCTCTGACACACACAAGTTAGTGTTGTTAAAGCGTATTGACGCCTGACCTAAACAGACGTGCTCTTGCAAAGATTGATTGTTGTGGATTTTTCTTCTAGGACCTCACATGACAACAGTGATGCCCTGGTCTATTTCTTAGTTCAGTTTGTTACCAGGAGAATGGTAGAAATGTGTCTTTGATAGTCCCATTCATCAAGTCCATCTCAATTGATTGCTCCTACCAGTCTGACTTTAATGTAATTGCTGTCTTTAGCAATGGCTGTATCTCCCGTTGTCTGGTTGATGCTTGGTCCTGTTCAAATCTGCCTTCTGTCGTCATAAACAGAACAGTTACTCTATAGTTTCCTCAAAGTGCAGTGCACAGTGTGCTGCACACTGTATGCATCATTTAGTACACCAGAATGTCATGCTAACCACACACGATCCGTCTGTCTACCCTTGTACTGCAGGTAAACATGCAGAGGACATATTTGGGGAGTTGTTCAACGAGGCCAACACGTTCTACCTGAGAGCCAACTCCCTGCAGGACCGCATCGACCGTCTGGCTGTCAAAGTCACCCAGCTGGACTCCACTGTGGAGGAAGGTAAGACAGGGGTTAGAGGTCACAGGAAACAGGAAACAGGAAGTGGTGTCATTACTGGTTGCCACGGTAATGTGAGGTCCTTTGCATTAGGGAGTTACGTCAGGTGTGGAAAAATTGCTGAAACTGAGGATATACAGTGCATTTGGAAAGTATTCAGACCCCTTGACCTTTTCCACATTTTGTTACGTTGCAGCCTTATTCTAAAATTGATTAAATTGTTTTCTTTCCTCATGGAATCTACACACAATACCCCATAATGACAAAGCAAAAATAGTTTATTTGAAATGTTTGCAAACTTATAAAAACAAACAAACTGAAATATAACATTTACATAAGTATTCAGGCCCTTTACTCAGTACTTTGTTGAAGCACCTATGGCAGCGATTACAGCCTCAAGTCTTCTTGGAGTTTGACGCTACAAGCTTGGCACACCTGTATTTGGGGAGTTTCTCCCATTCTTCTCTGCAGATCCTCTCAAGCTCTGTCAGGTTGGATGGGGAGCGTCGCTGCACAGCTATTTTCAGGTCTCTCCAGAGATGTTCAAGTCCGGGCTCTGGCTAGGCTACTCAAGGGTCGTTGTCCTGTTGGAAGATGAACATCAAGAATCTCTCTGTACTTTGCTCCATTCATCTTTCCCTCAATCCTGACTAGTCTCCCAGTCCCTGCCGCTGAAAAACATACCCACAGCATGATGCTGCCACCACCATGTTTCACCATAGGGATGGTGCCAGGTTTCCTCCTTTGGATTCAGGCCAAAGAGTTCAATCTTGGTTTCATCAGACCAGAGAATCTTGTTTCTCATGGGCTGAGAGTCCTTTAGGTGCCTTTTGGCAAACTCCAAGCGAGCTGTCATGTGCCTTTTACTGAGAATTGGCTTCTGTCTGGCCACGCTACCATAAAGGCCTGATTGGTGGAGTGCTGCAGAGATTGTTGTCCTTCTGGAAGGTTCTCCCATCTCCACAGAGGAACTCTGGAGCTCTGTCAGAGTGACCATCGGGTTCTTGGTCACCTCCCTGACCAAGGCCCTTCTCCCCCGATTGCTCAGTTTGGCCGGGCGGCCAGCTCTAGGAAGAGTCTTGGTGGTTCCAAACTTCTTTCATTTAAGAATGATTGAGGCCACTGTGTTCTTGGGGACCTTCAATGCTGCAGAAATGTTTTGGTACCCTTCCCCAGATCTGTGCCTTGACACAATACTGGAGCTCTACGGACAATTCCTTAAACCTCATGGCTTGGTTTTTGCTCTGACATGCACTGTCAACTGTGGGACTTACCAAATAATATCCAATCAATTGAATTTACCACAGGTGGACTCCAATCAAATTGTAGAAACATCTCAAGGATGATCAATGGAAACAGGATGCACCTGAGCTCAATTTCGAGTCTCATAGCAAATGGTCTGAATACTTATGTAAATAAGGTATTTCTGTTTTTTATTTTTAATACATTTGCTAAAATTCTGTTTTCACTTTGTCATTATGGGGTATCGTGTGTAAATTCATGAGGATTTGTATTTATTTAATCAATTTTAGAATAAGGCTGTAACGTAACAAAATGTGGAAAAAGGGAAGGGGTCTAAATACTTTCCGAATGCACTGTATAAATCCTTCTCTCACACCCTGTCTGTCCCCCTCTCTTTTCTCCCATATCTCCCTCACCTTCTCTTTCTCTTGGTCCTCTCTCTGTTTGTCCTCCCTCCCTCCCTCTCTTGTTTGTTCTCGCTCTCTCTATACCCTTCGTTTTCTCCCTGTTTGTCCTCTCTCTCTGTCCTCAGTCTCTCTGCAGGACATCAACATGAAGAAGGCGTTTAAGAGCAGTACTGCCCAGGACCAGCAGGTGGTATCCACAAGGAGCGTTCCCATCCCTGTCAAGGAGATGTACAACCTGAGTGACAAACCTCCACCCCTCAACATCCTCTCCAAATATAGGTGGGGTATCTCCCCCTCCCTTTCTATGATCTGTCTAACGTCTCCTACCCAGGGCAGTCTAAACCCAGAGTCAAATACCTCAGCAGATCTGTCTAACGTCTCCTACCCAGGGCAGTCTAAACCCAGAGTCAAATACCTCACCAGATCTGTCTAACTTCTCTACTACCCAGGGCAGTCTAAAATCTTGTTTTGTAGTCTCATAATGGAATGTTGTGGACTTCATTTCTCATAAACCCTGACCCGTGTTTGCCCTTTGACCCTGTAGGGATGACCACAAGGAGGGGCTGAAGTTCTACACTGACCCCTCCTACTTCTTCGACCTGTGGAGAGAAACGATGCTGCAGGACACGGAGGACAAGAGGAAAGAGAAGAGGAAGAACAAAGTAATCTCTAAAATTCCCTATCTTTCTTTCTTTGTATCTCTTCCTCCTTCTCTTTCTCTCCACCTTTCTCTTCCTCCCTTTCTCCACTAATATGTCTCTCCTCTCAGGAGCAGAAGCGTTGTGTGGACGGGACGTTGCAGAGGGAGGTGAAGAAGGTGCGTAAGGCTCGGAACCGTCGTCAGGAGTGGAATATGTTAGCCCTAGATAAGGAGCTGAGGCCTGACCACCGCCACACACACTCCCTCCACCAGGGGGCCACCTCCGAGGGATCACTGTCCCCTGAGATGAGGTCAGTCCAAACACACACACAAACTTACATTATGATGAGATGAGGTCAATGAAAAGTTTACACATTAATACATTTGCATTTATAAGATAACATATGAAATGTAAAAAAGTATGGAATAATTACTTTTCTGTATAATACTTTTCTGTATAGAGTCTATGATAGTTTAGTCTCCCTCTGCTGTTCAGGGAGAAATTACGGTCCTCTTACTCCCCCTGCTGGCCATTCTGTAACGTTTTCTCTTTCCATCTCCCTCCCTTTCGCTCTCTCCTAGGGGTCTTGGGCCTGACCACCACCAACGCCACTACCCTAACTCAACCAACCATGCTAGTCACGCCTACACATACTCCGGCCCACCCCCGAGTCTCCTGGCTGCTCAGCTGGCTGCCCAGGGACATGCCACTCTGGACAAGGACTATAGGGGAGCAACCGTGGCCTACAGGGGAGGCACCCTGGGTCGCCCCCACAATGCTCCACCCCCTCCCCCACCCACTGAGAACTTGAACGGATCTCTGCCACCTGTGGACTACAGGTCAGCAAGTGCACAGACACACACATACATAAACACCATGGCAGACAGACAGATGCGTAAATGGACACTCAAATAAACATTCAAATGTGCACACAGACACACACACAAACCCACGTGTACTCTTTTGTTGTCACTCTAGGGTTTGGGTGAGTCTTGTGTCAGGGGAAATCTGATCTGATGACGAACAACAGGCTTTATTCTCTCTGGGACTAAGCCTTAGGCTTTGAGTCTATACTGTCACCCATACAAACCGAGTACTGCACTGGTGCACTCAACTGCCTTGGTCTTGGCATGACTCCCCTATAAACTCTGTGCAAATAATGCCATCCTGTTTTTTCATTCTTCTTCACTTGTCAGAGGATGTTAGTATGACATCGCTATAAGTGAGATGTTTTTGTGGAGAGGCAGATAAATGTGATGCTTTCTATTTCTGAAATGGTTATGATGATTATTACAGTATAATGCCATGCCCACCGTCTCACTCTCTCTCTCTCTCTCTCTCCCTCTCTGCCTCTCTACCTTCTCTCCCTCTCTCTTTCAGTATGATGGAGGGATATGGAAACGGCCCTCCTCCCACTCCTCTCATGCCATCGGCACAATCTGCCTTTGCCATGCCCCCCGGAGGCCCACTTCCTCCTCCAGGACCAATGGTATCAGCCGGTGGCTATGACCCGGCCCCACCAGCACTCGCTGGGTCCCTGGTGGCTCCACCTCCCCCGATGCCTCCGCCCCCTCCTCCAGGCTCTTCCTACTCTACCACTCTCAAGATGTCCTCCATGCCCCACAACGCCCAGCCTGTTAATGATGCTCGTAGTGATCTGCTTGCTGCCATACGCATGGGTAAGAGTGTGTATCTCTATCTAACCCACCTGTCTCTGTGGCAGGGGTATTGTGTGTGTCTGTGTGCCTGTGTGTCTGTCTACCTGTCTGTGTGTGTGTGTGTGTCTGACTAACTTGACTGTGGGCAAATACGTTTTGCATCGCCTGGTGCCCCGGGTGGGTGGAGATTTCATTTTAGGACCAATGGAATGAGACAACTGTGCCCACCCGGGGCCCCGGGCCATGCGCAACAAACTTGCCTTTTCTGTCTGTCTGACTGACTGGCTGACTGTGTCTAACCTGTCTCTCCCTCCCTGAATCTAGTTGAGTTGTGTCTGTGACTAACTGTCTCTTCCTGGCTGTAGGTATCCAGTTGAAGTGTGTCTGTGACTAACTGTCTCTTCCTGGCTGTAGGTATCCAGTTGAAGTGTGTCTGTGACTAACTGTCTCTTCCTGGCTGTAGTACCAGGTTTGAAGTGTGTCTGTGACTAACTGTCTCTTCCTGGCTGTAGGTATCCAGTTGCAGTGTGTCTGTGACTAACCCTCTCTTCCTGGCTGTAGGTATCCAGTTGAAGTGTGTCTGTAACTAACTGTCTCTCTCTTCCTGGCTGTAGGTATCCAGTTGAAGTGTGTCTGTGCTAACTGTCTCTTCCTGGCTGTAGGTATCCAGTTGAAGTGTGTCTGTGACTAACTGTCTCTTCCTGGCTGTAGGTATCCAGTTGAAGTGTGTCTGTGTCTAACTGTTTCTTCCTGGCTGTAGGTACCATTGAAGGTGCTGTGAAACTTTTTCCCTTCTGGCTGTAGGATCCAGTTGAAGGGGGTCGTGCTAAGTTTCTTCCGGTGTAGGTATCCAGTGAAGTGTGTTTTATAATGCTCTTCTGGTGTAGGTATCCATTTTGAAGTGTGTCGGGGTAAACTGTCTTTTCCGGGCGGTAGGTACCCATTTAAAGGGTCTTGTTAACTGTCTTCCGGGCCCTTTTGAATCCGTTAAAGGGGGCCCTGTCAAAACGTTCTCTCCGGGCTTGGTATCCAGTTAAAGTGTGTTGGTCTAATTTTTTCCCGGGCTGGGTATCCAGTTAAAGTGTTCTGGCTAAGTCTCTTCCGGTTAGGTACCCTTGAAGGTGTCTGGCCTAACTGTCTTTTCTGGCTGTAGGTACCATTTAAGGTGTCTGTACTAACGTTCTTCCCTGGGTAGGTACCCCATTGAAGTTGTCGCCCTAAGTTCTTCCTGGTTGGGATCCTTTAAAGTGTGTCTGTTAACGGGTCCTTCCTGGTGTAGTATCCATTTAAAGTGGGTCGTCTAACTGTCTCCCCCTTTGGCTGTGGGATCCATTGAAGTGTTTGGGCTAACTGTCCTTCCTGGTGTGGGGACCTTTAAATTTTGTGTCTTGCTATGCTCTCCTGGTGTAGGTCCCCAGTTGAAAGTGGTTGTGCCTCCTGTCTTCCGGTGTGGTTCCAGTAAAGGGTGTTAATATTCTTTTCCCGGGGTTAGGTACCCAGTTAAAGGGTGTGTCGTAACTAACTGTTTTTCCCGGGTTGGGTACCCATTTGAAGTGTGCGGGGTTAATGCCCTTTTCCTGGTGTAGGACCAGTGAAGTGTGTCTGTGCTAAGTTTTCTCCTGGTTTTAGGACCAGTTGAAGTGGGGTTGTCTAACGGTTTTTTCCCCCGGGCTGTAGGTTCCCGTTAAAGTGTGTCGTGTAACGTTCTTCCTGGCTTAGGTATCCGTTGAGGGGGTTTTGTGCAACTGTTCTCCGGGCGGGTACCAGGGGGGTTTTTAAACGTTTTCCGGTGTTACCCTTTGGGTTTCTTTTGGTTTTTGGTAGGTAATTTCCAGTTGAAGTTTTTTCTTTTTGGGTTTTTTAAATGTTTTTTAAAAATTCTCCCTGGCTTTAGGTATCCATTTGAAGTGTGTCTGTGAAACGTTTTTTTCCGGGGTGGTATCCGTTGAAGGGTGTCTGCCTAACGCTCTCTGGCTGTAGGTATCCATTAAAAGGTGCTGTGCAAACGCTCTTTGGTGTAGGTATCCGTAAGTGTGGGGGGGGGGGGTTGGAAACTTCTTTTCCGGCTTGTATCAGTTGAAGTGTTCTGTCAACTGTTTTTCCCTGGCGTGTACCCTTTGAAGTGTTGTGCTAACCGTCTCTTCCGGCTGTGGGTATGTTAAGTGGTTGGGGCAACGTCTCTTCCGGCGGGGTATCCGTTAAAGGGTTTTGTCTAATGTTTTCCTGGCGGGTATCCATTGAAGTGTGTCGGTGCCTAACGTCTCTTCCTGGTTTAGGTACCCTTGAATGGTCTGTGCTAACGTTTCCGGCTGTGGGGACCCGGGTTAAAGGTTGTCGGGAAACTGTCTCTTCCCGGGCTGTGGTATCTTAATGTGTCTGATAACTGTTCTTCCGGGTGTAGGACCCATTGAATGTGTTGTTTTCTTTTTTTTTTTTGTTTTTTTTTTTTCCCTTTTTTTTTTTTTCCAACGTCTCCCCCTGGTGTAGGATCCGTTAAAGGGTTGTAACGCCTTCGGCTTTAGGTACCCAATGAAGGTTGTTTTTTCAACGTTTTTCCTGGCTGTAACCAGTTGAAGGGCTTGCTAACTGTCTTTTTCCTGGTGGGGTACCCATTTGAAGTGGTCTGGGGGCAAACTGTCTTTTTCCTGGTGTAGGTATCCATTTGAATGTGTCTGTGCTAATTTTTCCTTCCTGGCGTGGTATCCATTTAAGTGTTTAAAATGCCCTTTTTGGCTGTGGTTTCCATTTGAAGGGTGTCTAACTGTTCCCCTGGCTGTAGGTATCCATTGAATGGTTTGTCTTCCTTCCTGGCTTAGGATCAGTTAAAGTGTGTCTTTTAACGTCCCCTTCCTGGCTGTGGGTTCCAGTTGAAGTGGTCGTGCTAACGTCTTTTCGGGGTTTGGGGTACCCATTAAAGGGTTTGTCTGGCCCCCCTTTAAACTGTCTTTTTCCCTGGTGTAGGTACCCAGTTAAAAGTGGCCCTTTAACGTTTTTCCGGCTTGGGTATCCATTAAAAGTGTTTATTTTCTTCCTGGCTTAGGTATCCAGTTGAAGTGGTCTGAAAATAACTTCTTTTCCGGGGCTGTAGGTATCCATGAAGTGTGTCTGTGGCCTTTTTTAAACCTTTACTTTCTTTTTTCTGGAGGTACCCAGTGGAATGTGTCTGTGATAAGCCCTTTTCCCGGGCTGTAGGATCCAGTTAAGTGTCGTGAAAACTTTTCTTTCCTGGCTGTAGGATCCAGTTGAGGTTTTGCTAACTGTTCTTCCTGGCGTGGGTATCCATTTTGAAGGGTTGTCTAACGTCTTTTCCTGGTGTAGGTATCCATTTGAAGGGGTCAAATGTCTTTTCCCGGTGTGGGTATCCAGTTAAATGGGGGACTAAGCTCTTCGGGGGTTTAGGTATCCATTTAAAGTGTGTCTGGCAAAATGTCTCTTTTCCTGGCTGTAGGTATCCTTTGAAGTGGTTTTAAAAGTCTTTCGGCTGTGGGGTTCAGTGGGGGTTTGTCGTCCTAACGCTCTTCTGGTGTGGGTTCCGTTGAAGGTTCTGGCAACCTTTTCCTGGTGTAGGTATCCATTTGAAGGGGTTTGACAAAAGTCTTTTCCTGGTGTAGGTATCCATTTAAAGTGTGTCTGTCTAACGTTTTTCCCGTAGGTATCCAGTTGAAGTGTTTTGGGGCAAACTTTTCTTTCCCGTTGGGTATCCATTTGAAGGTGTCTGTGAAAACGTTTTTTCCTGGCTGTGGGTATCCGTTAAAGTTTTTCTGTGCAATGTTCTCTTCTGCTGTGGTATCCAGTTGAATTTGGTGTCTGACTAACTGTTTTTCCTGGCGTAGGTATCCGTTGAAGTGTGTTGACAACTTCTTCCTGGCGAGGACCCAGTGAAGTGTTCGTGTAACGTCTCTCCTGGTGTAGGTATCCTTTTGAAGTTGTCGTGCAACTGTCTCTTCCGGCTGTATACAGTTGAAGGTTTTTGGGAACTAACTGTCTTCCGGCTTAGGTTCCAGTTGAAGTGTGTCTGTGAAAATGTTCTTCCCCCCGGCTGAGGTACCCAGTTGAAGTGTGTCTGGCAACTTCTCTTCCGGCTGTAGGTACCCAGTTGAAGTGGTCGGGGCAAAACGTCTCTTCCTGGCTGTAGGTATCCCATTTGAAGTGTGCTGGGCAAACTGTCTCTCCGGTTTAGGCCCAGTTAAGGGTTTGGGTCTTCTAACTGTCTTCCGGCTGTGGGTATCCAGTTGAAGGGTCTGTCCAAGTCTCTTCCTGGTGTGGATCCGTTGAATTTGCTGTCTACTGTTTTTCCTGGTGTAGGACCGTTAATTTTGGGTCTGGCAACTGTTCTTCGGCTGTGGATCCATTTGAAGTGTTCTGTGAAACGTCTCTTTTCCTGGCGTAGGTTCCAGTTAAAAAAGGTGTTGTAATAATTTCTTTTCCTGGCTGTAGGCCTTTGAATTGTTTTTGTAATTTGTCTTTTCCCGGCTTAGGTATCATTTGAAGTTTTGTCTGTGCCTAATGTCTCTTCCTGGTGTGGGGACCGGAAGTGTGTCTGTCCTAATGTTTTTCCCTGGCTGGGATCCATTTAAAAGTGTGTCTGTCCAACTGTCCTTCCTGGCTGGGGATCCATTGAAGGTGTCTGGCTAATGTTCTTCCGGTGAGGTATCCAGTTAAAGTGTGTCGTGCCAAAATGTCTTTCGGCTGTAGGTACCCATTTGAAGTGTTTTGGGGTTAACTGTCTTTTCCGGCTGAAGGTATCCATTGAGTGTGTCTTGTTTAAGGGGCCCTTTTCCGGGCGGGGGGGGGGGGGGGGGGGTGTAGGTATCCAGTTGAAGGGTTTTGTCTAACTGTCTCTTCCGGGCTGTGGGATCCAGTTGAAGGTGTCTGTCTAATGCCTCTTTCCTGGCTTAGGTACCAGTAAGGGTTTTTGTCTAACTTCTTTTTGGGCTGTGGGTACCATTGAAGGTGTGGCCTAACTGTCTTTCCTGGTTAGGATCCTTTAAGGGTCTGTGTAACGCCCTTTTCCCGGTGTAGTATCCAGTTGAAGTGTGTTGTCAAACTTCTTTTCCCCTGGCTTTAGGTATCCGTTGAAGTGTGTCTGTCAACTGTTCTTCCCGGGCTGTAGGTATCCAGTTGAAGTGTTTGTCTAACTTCTTTCCGGCTTTAGGATCCAGTTGAGTGTGCTGTGCCTAACTGTTTTTTTCCTGGCTGTAGGACCATTGAAGTTGTCTGTGCTAATGTCTTTTTCCTGGTTAGGCCATTGAAGTGTGTCTTTTCTAACTGCTTTTCCGGGCGTAGGATCCGTTGAAGTGTGTTGGCAAAAATGTCTCCCCCCGGCTGTAGTATCCATTAAAGGTTTTCGTGAAAACCCCTTCCCTTTCCCGGCTGTAGGTATCCTTTTAAAGGGGTCTGTGCAACGTCTCTTCCCGGTGTAGATCCGGGTGAAGTGGTCTGTCTAACTGTCTTTTCCGGCGGTTACCATTGAAGTGTTCTGGGTCTAACTGTCTTTTCCCGGGGTGTAGGTATCCCGTTGAAGTTTCTGTGCCAACGTCTTTCGGGTGTAGGTTGGGGGCTGGCTACTGTCCTTTCCTGGCGAGGTATCCTTTGAAGTGTTTTGTGAAAACTGTCTCTTCCTGGTGGGTATCCATTGAAGTGTGCTGTGCTAACTGTTTTTTTTATTTCCCTTTTTCCCCCCGGGCTGTGGGTTCCATTAAAGTGTGTCTGTGATCTGTCTTTTTCCTGGTTAGGTACCAGTGAAGTGTGTCTGGCAAACTGTCTTTTC